AGTGTCCTTAGGGCATTCCGAAAGGGGGGACATTTCTCAGGGGGTAGTGGCCAAGAACAGTAAAATATAGATTTTTGCATCATAAATTTCAGATTCTGAATTATTTAAAATGGTCGGATGTGTCTCGAATCAGAGTGATCAGCCCCTGGGAAGTGCTTCTAACTCGATTCTTGATAGGAGAACCGGATCTGAGCTTCAATGTCATTTGTGTGGCTATGCCTGCGGTGCTGGTAAAGTTTGAGAGTTTTGCAAAGAGCAAGATGGAGTACATGAGTCCTCCTGCAGAGTCAAGTGTTCAAAGAGCAACAGCTCCTTCCAGTGTTCCAAACGACTCACCTTCTCCATGTATGTTATTTTGAATATTGTTGTTGTTATCGATCCAGAGTTAAGTAACACAATAGCTGTAATTGGAGAATTATTTTCAGAACCTCCAGATGTCATTAGATTAATAACTTTGATTTAGAAAACTTGGATTTAGAGCACACTTGTCTCTGCCATCTATTTTTTTTTGTACATTAGGTAGCATAATAGCTCCAATTGGAGTATTATTTTCAGCAACTGAGGAAGTTTGTAAATATCCTGGATTTAGAGAAGTGTCATTGCCATCACAGAAATAAAAGTTTGTTCTTGAGACATTGGGAGAAACAACTAAAATGCATCTCCATCTCTGTGGTGATATTTGAGTTGAGCCAAAGCATATGAATTGATTTGTTTTCGTGCTCTGTAAGGAAATAACAAGATTATAGAACCTGTCTGGTTTTCTCTCTCAAAGAAATTTATGCCAAATGTCTCTATATCTGTTACAAGCTAGAGAATATGTATTAGAATTTATGATTCATGTTGTTGGATTTTTGTGCCCAAGGCATCTCCAAAAGTTTAACAGAAAGTAATGACTCCAATTCACTGCTGTCCAAACGCAATGGAGTATATATGTATTACTATATTATTTTTATTCATGATGATTTGTGGGGTGGACAAAACTTGGACCTCTGGTCTTGTGCTACTATGTTAATGGAGGTCTAGAGTAATATTAGGAAAAGAAAGGGAAATCAAAGGATATGTGGTGGGAAACTTATTTAGCTTGTTTAGATTTAAGTGCTTACCTGTCATGTCAGTGTCCCTGGTTTCATTACTATTCCTTATAAGCACGAGTAAAAAGATTTCTGATTGGAATAAACAATTACTGGCCTTTCCCTGAGCATCAGTGGGGAGAAAGCTGAGATAAAGGAAGGAGAAAAAGAAATAAAGAAATAATGCATAGAAGACATTCTTTCAACCTTGCATTGGCTACCTTTGCCTTGTTTTGTTTTTCCAGTGACAACTTCGCTTTCAAAAAAATGTGAATCTTGGTTTTTTTAAAGGCTTTTTATTTGTTTTATAATGCTTTTAATTGCAATTTTATTTATGGTGTCATCTCTTAAAATATTTATGTGTGCATGTCTTACACCACAGGGTCAAGTATGCAATCCTCCCCGGACAGAGATTCGCCCAAACATGTTCCAACCGAAAATGACGTACCACAGATTCAAGCACGAGCCCAGAAGGATGTTGTTTCTGACGCTGAAGCTGCAGAACTGAGTGCTACTCTGGAAAATCTGAAGTCTTTGGCTTTAGATATTAGTACTGAACAAGACTCACAGCTGGATATGATCGATAGAGTGACACAGTCTGTTGATAGAGCAGACTACAGGCAAAAGGAATTGGATAAGAAAATGAACAAGTTGTTAAAATAGAGGAAGAATTTCTTCCATTTTGTTTTTGTGAGGGTTTTTATGAAAGGCTTGTTTCTGCAATTATTTTTATGTTTTGGGCTTCAATGTATAAAAAACGTAGGGCCTATGTATGAACATTTCTATGACTTCTCCCTTTTGTAGAATCTTTGTAGAGAGAGAGAGATCTTGTTATTGTAATATATTAGATTGAATTGTGGCTAAGGAGGGACCAGTGGTTGAGGATGCGGAGGGGGGGGGGGGGGGGGTCAATAATTGTTGTCTTAATGAGACTGAAAATGGAACAGATGTTATGGTTTGCTTCTGTTGACATTTGTTGTACATTCAATTTTATTTGTATATTTTCAGTGAGGCATGAACTCTTTCTGCAAATTTATTATTTGAATTCTTTTTGAAGCTTATTCTGAGTCAGATTATTTTCCACTTTCAATATGCTATGCTTTGAAAATCTTAATGTTTTTCGGCAAAGGACAGGACCCTTTTCCCAAAGAAGGGTTAGGGTCCTATTCCGATTTGGTACCAGTTTCTGGACCAACCAGGATTGTGAAGATTTTGTGTCAGCTTTGTAGCGTGATGAGAATCTATTTGAGTCGAACCTGCCTTAACGGAAACCTGTGTAAAACAAAAACTTGTCTTAACGGAATCTCCCCCACTCCCCCCTTGATATATTCCTCTTTAATTACCTGTATAAAACGGAAACCTGTCCAACGTGGAAATGGAAAGAAAAATCCGCTCCCTTCCAAGGGTTTTACCTGTCTAAGACAGAAAATGTTTGGCCCGTTCAGTCCTGATTTGCAACAAAACTCACAAGTTTGGTTCCGTCAGCCGGCTCTAAACTTAACGCTATCTGCCAGGCAAGGAAGGGGCGTAGGGGTGCAATTAGAGGATAGATGTTACCCCATCTGCATGAGCCTTGAGCTATGAAGATGGTCAGGATGGTGAGGGTGTGAAATCTCATGAATGCCAGTGAAAGTGCTCAAGTTGTGCTCCAGCACTGAAACATTCATTGGTAGCCAGAGACCAGAGGTGTGAAATTAGTTTGACCCATGCCTGCCACCCTGATCGTACAGCCATCCGAGAAAAGAGTTCCTCGAAACGTGTATTACCTGGCAGTGAGGGGTGGCATTGGTTGTCTGTGCTTGTTACTCCAATGGGTAGGGCTACGGGTGGAAGCAAAGGAGATATTCAAACGTTTCTGTTATTAATAGGTCAAACAGTGGTCCCATGAAATGCAAGCATTGGTGGTAATTGGATAAAGTAGACTGCCATTATCAGAGAGGATAGCAGCTGAGAGGTGTGAAGTTTTGACCACTTGTGACTGCTTGCCAACCGGACAAGCAACCCTGGATCCCACCGGTTGGCCTTTGACCCCCCTCCTTTTCCATCTCCCGACTAAATTCCCCTGTCTGGGATGGAAAATGTCTAAGACGGAATTTTTTCTGGCTCCCTTGCGATTCCGTCTTACATAGGTTCAACTGTAATTACATTTCAAAATTGGCTGTTCTGTGAAGAATAAGTTTGAAATAAGGTGATGTATTCAAAGTAAGGCAAGCAGATTGCAGAGGTTTGATCATAATGAAGGTCTGTTTTGTTGAAATCTCTAGTGCTAGATCAAGTCCTCTTAGGTGTGGAATTGTTTGTGATTTTAAAAAAAACAACTATACTATGTTTTTATTTCTTATTTCACATTCTGAGATTGATATGGTCTGATTCATGTGTTTTGTTCCAGACTCCTCGACTTAAGTCTACTCCTCACCCCCGGGGCAGTGCCACTGACTGTAGTGTCCTTAGGGCATTCCGAAAGGGGGGACATTTCTCATTCAAGCACAGTAGAATTGTAAATGGGCTGATTCATGTCACACTCATAACTGTGCCTGATCTACAACAGGGAACTGCTGCTTTTTCTTTCCTAATCCTTACTATTGTCATTTTTCCTCTACTTCTTTTGTATGTTTGTCACTCTCTTGTGACCTGCTATTTCCGGGATTGGGAGATTACTTGTTATTAAGATGAAATAACTGTAGACTAGTTTCTTATCTGATTTTCAGCTTTGTGTATTCGCTTTTGTCTGTTCATCTCTAATTCTGCAGACCTTTGAATCATGTTCTTACCTCATATTTTGGGTGGTTTGACTTTTTCTTGACCCTTTGTTGACATACAGTCCACCCTGCACACTGTGAAATCAATGGGGTGCAGAAATCTTTTTGTTATGTTAACATTTCACCATGTACATTTTTTACATACAAAGAATATTATTTGTGTATAAGAAAATATGTGAGACCTTAAAATCTGTTCGCTGCATGCATAATATATATGTGCATATTTTGCTATGTGCTTGCTAAGCTGTAAACTACATTATGTGTGAAGCCCAGCAACTATTGAGGGTCAAGTTGAGCATGACTAGTACAGCATGTCTTTTAGAGTTGTTACATGAACAAGAGATAGGCCTATATATAGCAAGGAAAAACATTATCCAACTGAAACATATATATATATATGTGTGTGGTGAATTTACACATCAATTTAATTAATAGCTCAATATAAGTAATTAATGCAAGGTGCAAGTTTTGTGTTCTGAACGTATTTGACTGGTTTTGAAAGACATCCTTCAGGGTGTTTCTAATCCTTATAGGGGGTGCCCATTAACGTGATTGGGTCAGGTCGTCGAGTCGGGTTGTTTCCTGGTGATTTCAGTGCACCCTTCTACCCCGCCGTGATTGTACCCGACGACCTGAAAGTTTCAGTTGAGAAACCTTTCACCTCAATGGCTTTCTGCGGCAGCCTGGAATCCCATAAACATGAGTTACATCGATAACTTTCTGTTATCAAAGATCGTTCATAACAAGATAGTTCACTCAGCCAAAAAAGTGTCAGCGGAAGACGGCGCATTGGTTCAGATAGCGCTGCAGTCTTTGTTTAGGGGCCCCAGAAGAAGAATAGGAATAGCACAGTCTGTTAGTTTCACTTTTATTTTTTTTTTCACACAAGTAGGGTAACTCTGTTTGCTAAGTCCTCACTTTTTCGAAGAGGGCGCCACCTGATTTTAAGTGACTCCGCTCTGTTGTGAATGGCAGGCCTGAAAACAAACACATTTGTTTTTGTAGGTCACCGACCGAGTCGATCGGTTTGTGCCACGATGGCCGCTTTGCACCCTCAATTTGGCTAACCCCGACTATTAAATCGACCCGATTACTCGATTGCGCATCGGACACACGGCCCTGACCCACAAATACCTCCTACAGGGAGATGAGAAGCCGTTCTGTGTCGGATGCGACACAGATTTTACCATTAGACACATTTTAACAGAATGTCTAGACTTTGGAGAGATCCGAAGGAAATATTACAAATGCAAGAAATTGCAGGATATTTTTTCCGTCGTTGTTCCCAGCAGAATTTTAAATTTTATAAAGGCCATTGGCCTTTATGGCGAGTTGTAGAGTGAATTTGATATTATTTAAAATTTTTATTGTTACTTAAAAGAGTTGTTTTAAATCACAAATGTATTTACACCGAATTTAAATATTTTAACTTTTTAGCATTTTAAAGTAAATTAGTTAACCAGTCGTGAAGTGAACTTTTGCAAAAGTGAACAACTTGTGTTTCGCGCGCTCATATGACCTTAGCAGTTGCGAGCGCCGTAAAACCTTATACTATTCATACATTAAATCGACCCGACCCAATTGCGCTAGTGGGCACCCTCTATAAGTCAGTTTGAAATTTTGAGGGCTCCTTAGCATGGTGTTTTGTTTCTAGATACACTATATTATATAGGTATTAGTGTGACTTCAGAAATCCTGCCTATTTAGAAAACCCACTGCTATGTAGACATATGTAGCCTTCTCATTTGTGTCCTCCAAAACTTATTCACTACCATTTAGTGTACTGGTTTACAGGGAAAGAATAACTTATAAGGCAATGTATTTAGGACTGCAATGTTTTGTTGGGTTTTTTAAAGTTGAAAAATACTGTGAGTTTGTTTTAATCTCTCTGGAACAACATTTTTATCTTGTCTGAGCAAACATAGATGGGAACGTCTCAGCAGTGAACTCAAAGTCACTGACAACTTTTTCAGTATTGGCTTTTGGTCTCGGGTTTTAAATGGCTCCCTTGACCAGATGTTTCACGAAGCTTTGCCAAGTGAAAGTCATTTTTAACCTTTCAGTGAAACTTCAAAAAGCCTGCGGTTTGCATGATTAACAGGCTGGCTTGAGTTTTTATCATGGAATCATTTTTATAGAAAAGTGTGAGAAAATTTCTGCTATTTTTTTTTTTATTTCATTTTGAAAAATATGCAAATATCAGTTGACAGTTTAAATATTTTCCAAAATTTGCTTGGATATATCTTTGACTTTGATGATTTGTGCAATGGTGTCAGTCGATGGTGATGCAGTTTTTGTGATTGATACATGAGACCTATGTACTCACGCTGTGTTGCCTGTTTACAATAATTTGTATTGATGCCAGTTTAATGCAGGATTGTTTCTCAGTGTCTTTCATCTTGCCTATAGTGTAAATTTTTTGTACCTTGCACAATGGATCTTGATATTTTTATTGTACTGCCTATTCAAGTGGCCTGCAAAACAACAATTGTGTTTCAATGCCTTTAGTGTGAAATCCAATTTATTCATGTATATATGGTTTTATTCACTTGCTAATGGATGGCGGGTGATAGTAGCACAGCACCACTGGTAGGTTCTTCTTTACTATCCCTCTGTTGTTTCTGTCTGTCTTGTTTGTTTTTCATTTTAAAAGGGCTTTTATTAGGCCAAGATTTTTCACTTTTTAACTCAAATTCAGTAGCTGTGAGAGTTGTTGTAATTTTATAATATTAGCCACTTTATGTATGTCTTGTCTATGTTCTCTTATATGCGGATAATGCTATACATACATGTATGTTCTGTTTCATGGATGAAGAGGCTATTGCATTCTATTTGGAGTTAACAAAAAAATACAGCTGATGTGAGAATCGAACCATAGAGACTTTACTTGAAGTAAACTCTGATAAGATGGTTTTTACAGTTTTAATAATGCCCATTTTGGTGTCCTTCAATTAGACTCGAGATAGTGACACTGGCTTAGATTTACTGTGTTCCTTTTCCATCATCTGAAGCAAATTATCTACGAGGGCTGTCCCACGGAAAACCGGAAAAGGTCCATAAAAGCAACAATCTTTGTCCCATTAAAATAAAAATGTAAAACATCATATCTCAACATCTGCTTTATTTCTCAATGTGTAATCACCATCCCACTGGACGTATTTTTCCCATCGCTGGATCAGGGAGAAGCTACCCTCACTGAAGAATTTCTCGTCAAGGGGATTTCAACCAATCTTCCACGGCTTCTACGAAGTCTTTGTGGTCGATGAATCGCTCCCCAGAAATATGGCGTCTCATTGGTCCAAAAAGGTGATAATCTGACGGGGCCAAGTCAGGACTGTGAGGGGGGTGTGACAGAACTTCCTAGCCGAACCTTTGGATCCATTCTTTCGTAGCGTTTGCGGTGTGTGGCGTTGCGTTGTCATGCTGCAAAATGACCCCGCTGGACAACTGGTCTGGTCTTTTTCGGCGCACAACCTCTCTCAACTTATCAAGAGTCTGGCAGTATCTGTTAGCATTTATAGTTTGTCCTGGTTCCAGAATGTCAAGAAGCAGAACCCTTTGCAGCCCAGAAAACTGTGGCCATGAGTTTATTCACCGATGGCTGAACGTTAAACTTTTTGGGGGGAGGTGAAGACGTGTGCTTCCAAACCATTGAATCCCCCTTCATCTCAGGGGTCATGTGGTGTATCCAAGTCTCTCATCACCTGTAATAATGCTTCTCAGGAATGCTTCATCGTATTGTTGAAGGTCTCCAAATACGTTTATGACTCCCGTGACAGCTTGGCGACAACGATTCAACAAAGTCTGAGACACTTTAGCATGTTGCGTCTTGTGGTCAGCTGTCAGCTCTTTTGGGACCCATCGAGCAGAGATTTCAATAGTGCAGCTCATCAAACACTATCTTATGGACAGTCGACTTTGAAATGTTTAGCGACTCGTAAATTTCGTCAATATTTAGGCGCCTGTCTGTTTGAATGAGTTCGTTAACGTGACTCTTGTTGTCATCAGTCTTGACAGAAAAACAAGGTATGGGTGAACTTTGTCATTGACATCCGTATGCCTGGCTTTGAACTTATTTCACCACTCATATACCTGTGACCTTGCCATTACTTTCTCCCCGTAAACTAACTTTATTTCAGTGTGTATTTCTCTAGGTTTGAGACCTTTTGCGGTCAGAAACCGAATGACAGACCTCACTTCTACCCTTGACCAATTTTCCAAGGGGGTAGCCAACTTTAGACAACTGCTGTGTTCGTTTGGTTAGTGCGATGAGCATGGTGCTCAATCGGGAAATTACGAAATTATTATTTTACAAGTGTGCGTTTACAGAATGTGAAAATATTGAACAGTCTTCAAATTACAGCCAAATTCCGGTTTTCCGTGGGACAGCCCTCGTATGTCGCAAAAAGCACCCCATGCTTTGACTCAAATGTCAATGGTATGCCCTTGTATACTCTTATGTCTGACATTTTCAGAAAGGGATGCCAGTGCTTGCTTTAGAAGAAATTACATGTACAGGTATAAAGACTCTTACTCTTATACTTTTTTTCTCACTGAAGATATATGTGACAGTGTTGCTTTGAAAGATTTTATTCTCATTCCAATGGCATTACAATCTAGCTCATGCTTTTGCTGATGTGAAATATATTACACCTGTGTTCATTATACTAATGCAAGTTTTATTTTCTATATTTCTGTGTATCACTTTATTGACAGTTTATGTGTTTTGTTGAAATGTCACCACCTGTGTGGGTAGTTGGTGGATGCTCTGGTGTCAAGGGTTTGCTCCTTCTTTCCTATCAAACACCTATAGTCCTTATCTCCCCTTCTTCGTTTTTATATTTGTTACTCTCTTGTAGCACCTCTAATCTTTTGGCGCTCATATGACCTTATGCAGTTGTGAGGGCCATAAAACCTCTACTAAAACAAATCACCCCCTATGCACAAGCCTCTGTATGAACTATCTCTTAGAAGAGAAAAGAGCACACAAGCAAGTTACAAATGTTCACCCTGTTATCTGTTTCAACCATGTCATCCATTTGCTTAGTTTATCCCTTGCAGTGTTGCAGAACTGCAGTGCAAGCAAACGGGGTTCTATTTCACAATGAGGTATTTTTTATTTGCAGAATGAGCCCAACTGCAGAATATGAAATGTTACTCTTCAACATCCTTGTCGAATTGAAAGGGGCATTAACTCCTACCATAATAATTCAGAAAAACGTCTGTGGTGTGATGGGTAAATGGGTCGTTGCTGTTTCTCATGTAGGAAAGTGGGTTTTTTTATCGAGTAGGCCTACATTTATTGATCAGTCTGTCTGCTGGGACATTGTATCTATCTCTGCCCATACACACATTTCACACAAAAGAACAGAATAGTGATGGTGAGAATGAGGATTGAAACTTCTGATTCTCTTGTTGCACTACTTACCATGCAGCAATTGAAATGAAAAGAAAAAGAAAAACTCTTGAAGAATCAACGTGAAAGTGTCCAAATTACACTGTACTGTCATCTCCAATCACTAAATTTACAGAGTTATGGCATGACGGTTAACATGGTAATAGTAAAGACATTGTGGCAGAAATCTAGAGGTCATTAAGGCGTGTAAAAAGCCGCTCTCATTTCTGACCAGAGCAGATGACTGAAACTGCATAGTTGCATAATTTGTAATCAAGTGACCAACTTATAATTGTAAAAATGATAATAAGTAGAACTGCTTCTACCTCATGCAGAGGCTCACTCCGGAGAGATAGATACCAACGTGTATTTGGAGATAAGACTCGAAATTTCGCACATATTACAGGACAAACCATAAACTTCAGCCTCACTTTACCATCAGTCAGTGATTTTATGAATTTGTGAAATGAATAACGAGACTTAAAACTCTCTCTCAATCTATCGAGATCACGATATTAGTTATTGAGCTGTTGAGACTACCCACGCCAGTAGTTGTAAGACGCCACTCATAGGTCATTGTCCTGTTGCTTCTGCCTCTTGCTTTTTCCCTGCTCTAGTAAATGACTGTTGATGTGCTGATTCACTTCTCTTTACTCAAATTAACTATCTACATACGTATCTGATCTATATTTGCGTGAAATGTTAAGGAACATGTATACATAATATATATTCAATATTTGTATGCAGTCATTTGAATAGATCTGTAATTCTGTCCCAAGTCGTGTCTATCAGGGTCCTGTAGCTGCCTTTAGCCTCCTGGTGCTGCGGAGAAAAGAGTTGGTCCTTCTCGGGGTGTCTTTGGGCAGAGTGTGTTCAAGTCCTTGGGCTGTCAAAGCAGCTCTTTTCAAAGATAACAACGACGACTTCTTCGACTTGGCATCTGTTGTCTGCTTCTGCTTTATCGAGCTGCCACTGTGAGGCATGTCGGGAATTCCAGCTGCGAGCTGTAAGAAGGACCTAGAAGTATCAGGCGAGATCCCCGTACTAGGTAAGCGGTTGTAGAAATCGGACGCGAGACTGGGAGTTGCGAGTCTAGACTCAGCCTGGGCGATGACGCGGTCTCGCCACATGTTCCGGAGCATCTGGAGACGTTCCATCAGCGACAGAGTGTTCAGGTCGTTGGGGTTTCCCGCGCTCCACGGCTCGGACGGTGCCTTGACGGCGGACATGATGCTGGGAATGCCGCCGCTAGCAAAGGCGTCACGTGACCAGGCTTCTTGCAGCCCTCCGATCTGCCACGACCGCGGCACGTGGTTTGAAGTGGAAGGCGCGAGGGCTGCAGACGGCATCATGAGGCGGTCCGGGAAGAGCAGCAGTGGGGGTCTCACGCCGTCTGCTGAGCTGCCGTAGCCGTACCCAGCCATGTCGGGCAGGCTGGCGGACAGGCGGTAGCGGAGAGCGAACAGTTTGTCCCGGTAGGCCTGGGGTGAGCGCAGATAACTCCGCTCTAGCATGGGCACCTTGCGGATAGAGCTGATCTCGTGGAGACGGTCCTTGTGCTCGGGTTCTGTGGGAAATAGAGGAGGAAGTTTCCAATGTATCGATTAACCAACTTATTTCCGGAGACACTTCATCGCAGTAAGATGTCGGGGTTTTTGTTTTGTTTTTGGTAGAAATTTTAGAACCTAGGTCGTTTGAGGATGTTTCAAAACTCCCCACCAATTTGATAGGAACACATTACTGGTTAAAATACAGTCACCCTGGTAAAAATGCCTCATTTGGAAGCCATAGCAAGGACTTGTTCGGAGCATTTGCTCAGCCATGTAGGCAAAATGTCTGCAAAGATACCCGAGAAGCAAGCAAGACACCCAGTGGATCCCTTACTGAACGAAAAGCAAATGGGGTCTAGGAAAGGAAGAGGGTGCACAGATGTCATCTTTTCTCTACTACAGGTCAGACTGAGTCAGACCATTGAATTCGATACAAGTATGTAGAGAGATGAACATTTGTTTTGTGGATCAAGAGAAAGAGTTTGATATGATGAACAGTGAGCAGTTTGTGGAGAGTGGTGGAAGAGTATACCATCAGAGGGCAAGAGCTGCTGGACAACGCCAGATCTATTACTACAGAGTGAGTATTTTTGTACTACGGTAGTACGATAATATAAGGAGGAGCATGATCGCAGTGGGCACACAAGAGAGACTTACCACTTGGTTTGAAGTCGCACCCGGAGTTAGACCGGGCTGTGCCCCCCCCCCCCTTTTCTGTCTATCATTTAGATCTATTTAATAGAATGATAAGGGGAGCTGACCAAGCTACTCTTTGCAGATATCCAAAGCATGATGCACGGCAACACACGTATCAGCTCCAAGAACATCGTATAAACTAACAGCGTGAATGAGGCTTTTGAGAAAAATATGACATGAAGGTCAGCACAAATAAGACTGTGGTTTTGAAAACCAGTAGAACACCAGCCAACCTCGGCCTCAGCATTGATGGATGGTGAACAATTCAGGTAAGTTAAATTAATCCAAGCATCTCTTGGGAGCATCTTAACTAACGACGGATTATTATTAGTAGACCGAGAGATCGAGACGAGAATCCACATAGCAAGCAATGTCAACGGCCAGCTAGTATCACCCCTGACTCGCCCACACTGAAACCAAGGCCAAACTAGTCGGCGTTTTCTTTGAACTAGACCAGTGTCAGACTTGGACCCTTACCAAAACTCAAGACAGTAAAATCATAGCATGCAAAATGAGAGGCCCAAGGGAGTTTGTAAACAAGACACGAAGAGAAGGGTCCTGAACTCGGCCATCAGAAAAATAGTGGGTACCGTACCAGTACCAGTCCAACAGCCCTTGAGAAATCAAAGAAAAACAATGCTTATCAACCAGCCTGCCCCAAAAGCCTACAAAACAAGAATACCTGGAAACAGAGCGAGAGGAAGACTTAGGAAAAAATGTATTGAATGGGTAAAAAAGACTGCTGCTGCTGCTGCTGCTACTACTACTACTACTACTACTAGTCTACTACTACTACAACAACAACAACAACAACAACTACTACTACTACTACTACTACTACTACTACTACTACTACTACTACTACTACTCTTCGTGTCCACGAAACGGGGCTTTGACCTCTACAAAATCAGTTACCGTAACTGTAACTTGTGTTCAGTAGAATATTACGCCAGCAAAAATAAATTACATTTTCTGCAGCCTGTCAGGTGTCTTTCCGGAATATCAAAAGTGTCATGTTTTAAGATTAAAGACCCTAGTCATCACTGGTAGGAACACTGGTAAGATTACTGTCAACCCAGTAAAACCAACTCATTTGCAAGTCATAGCAAGGACTTATTCATGATAAACCAGCGAAGGCGGACCAGATGGGAACAAGAGTTTAGTGACGTCATTTTTTTAAAAGAAACGGCGCCGCTGTGTCGTCAAAAATTACTTTGATCCTTGTGCATCATCGTGCATGCGTACTGATTTATTTATTTATGTTTTATTTTTTTCATTTTTGTTTTTGCTTCTTTTTGAGGGTTTTTTTGTTTGGGGGGGGGGGGGTGCCAGGTGGTCGTTGCAGGTGTTATCGGGGTGATGAGTCGATTCCCGCTTTAACTTTAACCTTTATACTGTCAGACCTGCTTTATAATAATCTTATCAAAGGGCCTATACACTCTCGGGCAAAACAAAGAGTGGGTTAAATGCACGTGGTGGCTTTTAAACAAAAATTTTTCAGAAACTTTAGGGTTTCAAAAAAGGGGGGGGGGGGGGGGAAAATAAATAAGGGGGGGGGGGGGGGCACAAGTGGTCCAAAACTAATAAACGGGGGGGGGGGGGGAGGAGGGGGGGGCACATTCAACCTCATACCCTTGTTCTTGATCTAGTGGGAGCAATTATTTCTCCTTCATTGCATAAAAGAACAGGAGATCATGGCATTTTAGTGATTTTAGTACATGTTGTAAGTTACTGTGACAACTTTTCCCATTTAGGAACAATACCAGTTTCAATTTCATTTTAATTAAAAATATAAACCAATGTACAGAAGTTTTTACAATGCACAGAAAAGTGAAGTAGCCGACCCGGTACCGGTACTAATACTGAGGGTAATTTGCCATTTTACAAAGAAGTTATCTAGATTCTAAATATTATTATACATGTAATGTTTCACATGATCGTCGGTCGTAGCAAGTTGGAAAATAATGGCGGATGGGGGGTGCGCAAAAAACTGAAAACTAATCAGCGTGAGGAGGGGGGGGGGGGGGTGTTTATTTGATACCTTAGAGTTAGAGTAGTGTGGAGTTCTGACTGTCGTCGATCATTATCATGATAGTGTGTAGCGTTGACATGTTGACCACATGGCGTGTCATCAGTTTCTGCGCAATACGTCACGAGCTGAGGCCACTACATAATGATGACACGAAACTGTCGGCACGTTTTGTTGGCAGAAAACTAGTGTAATGTTTGGAGGTGGCGGGTAGTGAATAGTACTAGTAGTGAAAGTATGGATAGAGGGTGAGATTGGTTTGTGTCAAATTGCGGTACATTGTACGGAGTTGGTTTCTCGTGCGTTGTTGGATTATTTCGCTTCTCTTTCCCCAGGGAGTGCATCATGAAAAAGAAGAAAATCTTGAAAGCGCCCACTTCCATAGGCTATGGCCTCACTGCGAGAAGAGAGGGCACAGCAGAGCGGAGCTGTTTGGAGCGTTAACATTGGGAGGCCACACTGCAAGTAGAGCGGAGCGGGCGGTGCAATGCAACGTCATGTGGCATTATATTTTCATACATGTATCAGTTTCAGTTGCCCATGGATAGGCGTTATTTGTCCTGGTCGATGAGGAGACTCATACATACGCATATATACACACTCGCACACACAAATTATGAACCTGCTTGCGGGCACACACGCGGGTGTGCATACAATCTCTTAGTCTTCCTTGTCCATCAAAATCAACAATTTGATTTTAAAAAGGGCGTCACCTCAGCTTACAATGGCAGACTGCGGTACGCTCGTATTTCTGCAAAAGATGAGCTTTCTTAGATTTCTTTTAAAGGTTTCTAAATTATTGATGTTAGCTCATAGGCAATGCGTTCCACACAAATGGGCCAGAGAATGAGAAAGCTCGTTCACCGTTTCAGGTGTGTTGATAGTATTAAAGGAGAATTTGCACTAGACTTCTTGGAGTACTTGGTCTGTAACAACAAGGCTCTCAATGTTTACTAACATTAATTGTGCTTTGAAAGAAACGTGAACACCATGATACAGTATTTTCACATCCAGAACTTTTTATTTTTACTTCAAATGTTTAAATACATCAGTAGCCGTTTGAGTATGATTTGACAGTTATGCCCTATTAGACACGGATATACCTTATTTTTATATAAATGTTTTTTGTTTCTTTTCAAAAGCGGTGAGCTTGGTTCAGTAGATAGGGCCCGAGAGTAAAGAAAAAGTAGGGAGGAGAAAGATGACAGAGACAAAGTGACACAATATACACTTGCGACTACAGGTGCCCGTGAGTGGCATCCCTCTTTTAGATGGCTGGCACGTTCTGCTGTTGTGCAAAAAGTGTTTTCCCTCCTCCTCCTCTTCCTCCCCAACCCCCATCCCAAACCCCCGCCCCCTCGAACCAGCGCTGGGGGAATCCGTTTTCGGTGCAGCGACGTTATAATAATGAGATCAGTATAAAGGCACTGCAAAAAGAAAAATAATATGCAGCTCAGGGTTGGGGGGCTTGGCGGGAGG